CTCCAACCCCATTATGTATGTTTTGTGACCCTCTGCATTTAATTAGGGCTCCTTATGTAAACATAGGTGGGGGAATTAGTTACTTCTGCAAAGGCAATTTACAGCACTGAAGAACATGACTCCGCATCCCCCAGCAGTCATTACTGCCAACTGCTCCTCAGGAAGGGGAGGGGTGGGGTTCGGGGAATCACTGACATTCCTATTTGCCAGATTAGGAAACTGAGGCTTAGGAAGTGCATTCCTAGAGTGAGGAAAGAAAACCTTGTGCTAACACCTGGACTCAGTCCAGAGACTCAGACTCCAGCGGCCTTGCTGTGTGTATATCTGAACCTCCCTAAAATAGCTTTCATTTTATGGAATATGCACTATTTTCTAGGAACTGTGCCGAGCACTTTGCATCCATTTATCTCCTTCAATCCCAGCTCTTCAGCAAACTCTCACCTTAAACATCACCTTTTTGCCTGGTTTTCTGAAGGCTTCTCCATAAATCCCTCCCTCCACCACTTGTCACCTACCTGGTTTATTTCACGTACATGCCTGTAGCCTATAAAATCCACCCATCTGTTTGCTTTCTTTATCTTCTTTTCTTAGATTCTGCAGAACATAAGTTTCTAGAAGGTTTTGTCCTGGGGGCTGGAGAGATGGCTCAGCAGTTAAGAGCACTGGCTGCTCTTGCAGAGGACCAGGGTTCGATTCCCAGTCCCATATGGCGTCCAACAACCATCTAGATCCTCCACTTCTAGAGGATTTGATGCTTCTGACTCCCTGGGCATTGCACAACATGGGTGTACTTACATACATGCAGGTGATACACTCATACGCATAAAATAAAAATAATAATTTAAAGAAGGTTGTGCCCCCAATATCTCTAATTGTCTGGCACATAGTAGGCACAGTAAATATTTGTTAAGTAAGTGAGTGAGTGCTGGCATCATGTCTGGTGTGTACACCTTTCCTAGATGATTTAACAGGTTAAGAAACCAAGCACAGGCATGGAGGTCAGTGATGGGGCCAGGAGTCAAAGCAGGAGACCCCAGATCTTCCTGATGGTTCTTGTGGGCTTGAGCAGGAAGAAAGGCCTTTTCATTCTCTTTTTTTCATGGGAGTGCGGAGGTTTGGACCCCCAGGGAGGCCAGGCTGACAGGATTAGCAGAAACAGATGGTCCAAGCCCCATGCCCTGCAGGAGGGAGCTTACTTTCCCCAGGGACTCTGGAGGGTGCAGCTCCTTACAGTCCAGTCACATTCCAGGTCCGGAGCCCAGATGTTTGCTAATGAGCTGGGGAGAGGGGCATTCAGCCTTCAGCTCTAGCTCAGGGCCCCACATTACCTCGGCTCCAAGAGGCTGGCCCAGGGCCAGCAGGTGCTGGCTAGGAGCCCGTGCCCTGTGCCAACCAGGCCTGCCCGGGCAGCTGGAGCTGTGCTGCCAACCAGGTGTATCTCCTGGAGCTTGGAGACTCTGACTTGACAGGTTCTGCCTTTCCTGCTGGGGCCCCATTACCTTGGGTTTCAGGGGTGCAGCATCCATATGGGAGGGGCTCTGAAGCAGCCAAGTGGGTGTGGTGGGCACAGGATGGTAGCTGTGTGTTTACGTCTAGCCTTTGTTGGTCACTACCAATATGATCGTGGGTAGTGAACTACACTCTTGTTCTCATGAATACAAAGGGAACAATGGGATTGTGATAAAGATTAGATGAGATACAGTAATAGATGAGTAATAGACTGCTCAGCTGGGTATAAAATAGTAGCTGCTGAGAGAGGTCTCTTTCTAAGGCCCCTGCCCACACTGTAGCTTTCTGTCACTATTGGTCCTTACATGACACATGCAGCTCAACTCCAAACCCCATGTCCTTGATTAGGTGGTTGGAATAGCTCTTGAACCTGCCTAAGTTTGAGAGGGTACTAGCTGGGATTCAACCCCTCTCTTCTGTCTCTCTGTGTGTGTGATCTATGTGCTCATCAAGAAATTAGCTTCCTGTAGTGTGGGAATGGGCTCTTTTCTGTTTTGCTTGGTTATAACATTTTTTTTTTTTTGGTCTTTTTGAGACAGGGTCTCCCTGTAGCCCTAGCTGGCCTGGATTCACTATGGAGACCAGGCTGGCCTCAAACTCACAGAGATCTGCCTGCCTCTGCCTCCTGAGTGCTAGGATTAAAGGAGTGCACCACCACGCCCGGCAGTTATAACATTTTAAGAAAATTTTTATTTATTATTTTTATTTTATGTGTATGCGTGTATTGCCTGCATGTAAGTGCACCCATGTCATGCAATGCCCATGGAGGTCAGAAGAGAGGTTCAGTCTAGGCCCCTAAGGCAACTGGCTTTCCCATGGTCAGGCTCTCCAGGCATTTATACTATGTTATAACATTTTTTAAGATTTATTTATTTATTTATTTTTTTGGTCTTTTTGAGACAGGGTCTCCTTGTAGCCCCAGCTATCCTGGAACTCACTATATAGACCAGGCTGGCCTCGAACTCACAAAGATCCACCCGCCTCTGTCTCCCGAATGCTGGGATTAAAGGCATGTGCCACCATGCCCAGTGTGGGTATGTTCATGTGAGTGCAGGTGCACCTGGAAGCCAAAGGCGTCAGATCCCCCAGAAGCTGGCAGGCTACAGGTGTTTTGGAGCCACCCAACATGGTTGCTGGGGATTGAACTTCAATCCTCTAGAAGAGCAACAACACATGTTCTTAATCGCTGAGCCATCTTTCCAGCCCTAACCATTTTTTGAAAAAATTGCATTTATTGGGATGGAAAGATGACTTGGTGGATAAGAGCACTGACTACTTTTGCAAAGGACTTGGGTTCAAATCCCAGCACCCACAAGGCAGCTGACAACCATCCATAATTCTAGTTCCAGGAGATCCGATGCTCTCTTCTGACCTCTGGGGCATTGCATGACATGGGTGCACTTACATACATGCAGGTAATACACTCATGCACACAAAATAAAAATAAGATATTTTAAAATTAAGAAACTGGGGCCAGGTGTGGTGATGCACGCCTTTAATCCCAGTGCTTGGGAGGCAGAGGCAGGCAGATTTCTGTGAGTTCAAGGCCAGCCTGGTCTCCATAGTGAATCCAGGACAGCTGGGGCTACAGGGAGACCCTGTCTCAAAAAGACCGAAAAAAAAAAAAAAAAAAGAAACTGCATTTAGTTATTGTATGGGTGTGTATGTGTGTGTATTCACACGTGTGCCATGGCACATGTGTGGAGGTCAGAGGATAACTGGGAGGGCTGGATTTTCTCCTTCCACCATAATGGGTCCTGGGCTCAGGTCATCTGACTTAGTGGTAAGTGCTTTTGTCCACTGAGCTCCCCCACCAACCTATTTTGTTTTGTTTTGAGGACAAGGTCTCACACAGCCCAGGTTAGCTTAAAACTACTGGAGGATGGTATTGAGTTCCCGAATCTTCTGCCTCCACCTCTCAGATGTAGAGATCACAGATGTGCCACCATGCCTGGTGGGAATGGGTTTTTAGAAAAATGTAGACATCTGCTCCCATCCTGCCCAAGGTCCACATTGAGAATGTTGCCGAGTTCTGGCTGCAAAATTTAAGATACAGCGCGGCAAGGCTGGTTTCTGCAGTACGCAGTCTTACGACCTTAGCTGGTCTGGCCTCTTACTGTCAAAATTTTCCATGAGCTCCTTACACTCTTCTAGGCTTTTTGCACTTACTAAATGAGGGGATAACAGGGAAACAAAACAAAACCCAAGAATCCCGCCAAACTGGCTATGTAAACCACCTTGAGCTTAAGCCTGCACCGCTGGACAGGGTTTATGTGGTGCTGGGGAATGGAACCAGGGTTTCATGCCTGCTAGGGAAGCACTGTACCAACTAAACTACATCCCTAGCCCGGAGTTGTCTTCTTGGTTCCTGTGGTACAGGTTCATTGCCTGATGGAGGAAGAGATCCCAGCTGAGATGTACCCCATGCTCCAAGAGGAGGTTTAGGCTACCCACGGATCTTGGGAAGACTTTCCAACATGGTCCATGAAGAATGTGTTGAGCAGAGGAAAGGAGGGAAGGAAACTCCAGGCAGAGGGAACAGCGTAAACAACAGCTCAGAGACTTGGTTTGGAGAGTACAGAGAGCCTGGGGGCAGCCATGGAGCTACCATCAGGTCACTGGGAGGCCTCTTTGTCCCTCCCCCTTCTTTCCTCTATGCCTGGCAAATTGGGGTCATGAGAGGAGCAGGCCGGGTCTTTTTGAATGGGTTAATGTATGGACATATATAAATCCCTGCTTCCCACCATCCTGTCCAGCGCTGTCTTCTCCTTCTTATGTGTGGGCTGGCCTGGAACTGGCTATGTAAACCACCTTAAGCCTTAGGCCTGCACCACTGCACCAGGTTTAGTGGCGCTGGGGATGGAGCCCAGGGTTTCATGCTAGGCAAACACTCTACCAACCGAACTACACTCCTAGCCCCGAGTTTTCTTCTTAGTCTCTGTGGTACAGAAAGTGCCAATGCAGTCCTCCCTAGTGTCCACTGATTTAGTAAACAGCCTTTTCCTCAGGTGAGCCAGGCAGGTCTCCCTCTCCCAGGACTCAGAAGAGTCCGTTTCGGCTCTTCTCTGGATGTTCAAGCTCAGTCGCTTGGAGGCCATGGGAGGTAAGTGACATGGGCACCGACAGCACCGATCTGAACCGGGCCTCCCGGGGACATCAGATGAACAGGCTGAGTCCATTTGGCTGGACACAGCATCCGACGGTCTCCTGGTGCCGGAACCCTGATGGGCTGGAGCGAGAGTTCAAGACCTGACAGCTCGGGAAAAGAATAACGAAGGGGAGAAACCCAGGGCCCGGCTCCCGCCCTTTCATCTCCATCTCCGCCGTCGGGGGAGCGGGGCCCGCGGCCTGAGCGCCCCAGCCTGCGCCTGGAGGGAGCGGCCGCCTGCCCGCCCGCCCGCCCGCTCAGACGCGCGTCCCTCCCCTCGCCG